AAATTTTGGAAAACCCTTCAAAATGGCTAAATAAGCAAGCAATCCCACAACGGATCTTGGATTTGATCTAAATAAACAAGCAATACACAAGCTTTTGTAGAGGAAAAATTGCAAAAGTATACGAAGATATATATGTTGAAAATTTCTTGCTATAATAATTTTAAGCAGTTGCTCTTGCAACACAAAAAAAGGGAATAAATTAGGAAACTGGAAACAAAGGATAGAGATAGAGAATTTTTCATTAGAAGGGATTCTAGCCTCTGGGTTTTTGGTTCGGCCATTTGGGTAGCTTGCCGGAGGTAGAAAAGAGAAAACAAAAAAAAACATGTAACTCTGTCAGAGGATAGAACCAAGCTTTGTACCTAATTTGGAAATTTCGGCAATATTAGAATGAAAATAAAGTGAAATTGATGAATGGGAATGAAGGTTGAAATTGCAGGCAAGTTTTTCTGGCCAACGAACCCACAAATGAAAGAGAAGGTGAAAGATAAAGTGAAATGACAGATGGAGTTTTATGTTAAAAGAAAAGTGTGAGAAAGAGGGTAAAATGATATTTTTATTTTGATTTTTCTATTATATACCCTAAGGGTATAGAATAAGGGTGCATTTATTATCCATTTTTATTATTAATACATATAGTAAAACTAAAAATTAATATTAATTTTACTAATTGTCCAATAAAAAATATCCATGTGTCATAATTATTAAAATTAATATGAACTTTTTTATTTTTTATGTAAATTAATACATGATTAATAATAAAAATATACAACAAATGTACCATTATCTTCTATCTTAAGAACATAAGATTGAAAAATCCTTTTTATTTTATTTAATATTAAAATTGAAAATAATTATTTTTTATTAGCAATTGAGAATAATTAATTATTTTCTTAATTTTTATGCAAAAGTCTAAAATGGCTAATAAAGTAGAGAGGGAGTACATTACAAACAATGTTATCAAATTAAACCTAAAGTCACATGTATTGGGTCATTAATCATAATGATTGATTTTCGGCTTTCAAAGGATTTGAGGCTAATTTTCATCATTACGAGGAGTTTAAGAGTTTATTTACACTGGTTTTAGTTTAGAGGTTGATATATTAATTTTGGATAAATATAAGGGTTTAAGAAGGGATTTTGCCAAAAGAAAAAGGAGCACTAACTTTTTTTTTTTTTATTAGGACAAGTGGTTCAACGGGAGGGAGGGAGGGAGGTGGAGAGAGAGATTAAAGCCCTTGTCATAGTGAATAAGATTTATATTAAGCTGTCGAATCACTATGTCACAAGCTTTTTTCAAAGAATGTGAATTAGTGGTGATTACGTTCTACACAAGCTAGAAATGGCAGCTCATAATTAGCATAAAAAGATAAGAATTAGGCTTTGCATATATTTTTTTCACATCATATCTTATTTAAAAAGATAAATTTTTAATATTTAATTAATTTTTATATATTTTTATTAATTTTAATTAATATTTTGTAATTAAAAAAATTCTATAATGATAGTACAATATTAAAAAACAAAGTCTTAATTTTTTTGATACATCTAAAATTAATTGCTTGATGTTTTAAAATTTTAAATACTTAATTTTAACCTTAAATTAAAATTTTTGACTTAATGAGTAAAAAACAATGTCTTAATCTTGTAAGATAGAGTTGAAAGCAATCACCACGTGACCTAGTAACTCAGGGTTAAAATCATTTTTTAGCCTCTCATCTTACAAATTTAATAGGTTTTAACTCATAACATTATAATATAACATTTTTAGCTCTTTATCTTATAAAGTTGGTAGGTTTTAACTCCTCACGTTCCAAAGTTGGTATGTTTTAATCCCTCACTTTATATTATGATACTTTTAACTCTTTATCTGTATGAATTAAAGAAAATAACTTTTATTTAACATTATGTTATAATGTTTTATTAGTTTTATTAACTGGCTGTTAGTTCTGTTAATTGACTGTCAATTCTGTTAGTTAACTGTTAATTTTGTTAGCTGACTGTTAGTTATGTTAATTGACTGTTAATATATGTTAGTATTCCGTTAGCATTCCGTTAATAAAACTAACAAATAAAATTGAATTTAAATTTCATTTTTTTATAACGAAATACCAACAGATGTTAACAGTCAACTAACAAAATTAACATAATATTATAACCTAATGTTAGGTGATGATTTTTTTCTTTTATTCGTATCAATGAGAGACTTAAAATATTATAATATAATATAAGGTAAGGGATTAAAACCTATCAATTTTGTAAGGTAAATAATTAAAATTTATCAATTTGATAAAATAAAAAATTAAAACTATTATATTATAAGATAAAATAATAATAATTTTATAAAATGAGAAGCTATCTGTTAATATTTACCGTAACTTAGGAATGTATGTGGTAGCACTGACAATCAGGGTTCAGGTCCTAACAGTCCCATTCACCCATCCCCCAATCGTACCATGTTAAAAAATATATAAAAATAAAAATAAAAAGCATTGTAGAGAATCTATTTTGAGTTAGACATGCAGCAGCTTTCATATTCATTGCGATTTGTGCACATCATGTGCGTACAAAAAAATTTTAAAAATACTACAAAACAGCGCAATTCCATGCACCAATTCCATGTGCTTTTATTTTTAATTAAAAAAGTACTCATTCTCGAATGAATAGTTATCAGGAGGCCGACGGTCTTCCAGACCGACTGAGGCCGAACGGTACGGACTACGTACAGCCCCACATCCGTTAATTTCTGGTCTTCGTTATGGTTAAACTAAGAACTGGTCCCTTAATTTATCAATTTAAACTTTTTTAGTCCCTCAATTTTTTAGTTTTCAAACTTAGATTAAAAATTAGTTCTAAGAATTTTAGGATTTTAGATATTTTTAAAATTTCAATACTTAGGATGTTAGGATTTAGATGTTTTAAAGTTTACTAGCATTAAGGGTGTTGGGGTTTAAATTTTTTAAAATTTAGAATTTGAGATACATGTTAAGATTTAGAATTTGGGTATTAGGATTTAAACTTTTAAGGTTAGAGTTTATATTACTAGTTTTTATGGTTTAATATTTAAATTTAACATTTAATAACTGAAGAATTAAAGTTCAAAGAATTATAAATAAAAATAATCATGTCTAACAAAGAAAACAAAACAATAATAAGGACCAATCGACTTGGGGTTGATCAATCTTGTAACCTTACTCATTATGAAATTTTTCTAAAAGTATATGGAATTTTTTTTAATAGTACATTTATGATATATATTTATCAATCGTTCAATTAAATCATTTTATATGGTATTGTTATTAAAAATAAAATTTAGTATACAAATTAAAGAATAAAATGTGCAATAAATGTACTCTTAATATATATATATTTTTTTTTGGTATGACCATCCGGTATCTAGAAGCTCATTGAGTCACTGATTAATTCGGATTTGAGCCGGGCAGGACCCAATGGGTGGCAAAGCTCTCTCTCATTAGTTTTAACGGAGTTACATTCTCAGGACTTGAACTCAAAACCTTTGATTAAACTGAAAAAGTCTCAACCAACTCATCCACCCACTCATGGATACGTACTCTTAATATATAGCCTAAGGGTGTAGGTTAAAAAACCCAAAATACATATTAAAAGTATAATTATTATATTTTTAAATATTAAATTATGAATTTTTTTAAAAAATAAAAGTTAAAATTTATAATACATTTGGGTTAAAAAGGATGGAGAGAGGAGAATTCTCCTCCCCTTCGTTCCCTCCGTCCCCCCTCATTTATATAAATTAATATATAAAAGTTCAAAGTAAACTTAAAGACTTGCTTCTCCTCCCATCCCTTTCATTATTTTGATAATCAAATAAGGGAACTTTTCTTTCTCCCTCCTTTTTTTTTTCTATTTTTTTAACCCGAACATACTATAAATGATGTAATTAATATATTTTTTGACAATTAATTTGTGTTAAAAATTAAAACTTGACAATTAATTTATGCAATATCCAATCAAATTCATTCTAGTGGCATTAGTACTAAAATTAATGAGTTTTTTTATTTCTCTATATATATTAAAAACTAAAAATTGTATTAATTATAGTTTAAACATGTACCACTAAAAAAACTTTTAAATTATATAAAAGGATTTTTTTTTTTAATTTGTGCCCTTAAGAATGTATTTATTGTGTATTTTCACTATCAATTTGTTAAAAAATTATGAAAATAAACTTTATTTCTAACACAAATGTCACTTAAAATATTTTAATTGAATTATTGATAAAATTAAAGTTAAATTTTAATTAAATATATAATAAATACATCTTTAATTTATAACATATATATGGCCAATGTTAAAAAACTTTTTATAAAAATATAAAAATTAATTTTAATTTTATTAAAATAATAAGTGACATTGATCCTAAAAATAAAGCTTTTAAATGTGAATCTCGATTCAAGAATTTGTTGCCCAATAAGAATACTTGTGCTTTCAAATGGTCTGAAAAGAGAATTAAACATATTTATATAAACCACAATTAATACCACAATAAGTTGGTTTAAATAAAAAGAATTTGATTATCTTTAAATAAAGTTTTGAGTTTGAATTTCATAAATATTTAAATTTCATAAATAGAAGTACTGGAAGAATTTTTCCTTTATATAATTTGACTAGACTCTATTCTAGATTAATTAAAATTTAATATAATTTTTAGTTATAAAAAAATTAATGTGAAAATATAATAAACCATGACCAATTACCAACGACTTGAGCATTAATGGTAATCTCATTGTTGTAGAAGGGAAATGTTTTGAGTTTAAATTGTGTTTTATATAATTGATGAATTCAGAGATTAAAAAATTTACTTTTCAAGCACGCGTTTCAGATTCATTATTGTGCTGTTTTAACACCCAACTCAATAAAAGAAAGCTAATGGTGTTCTGTAATTGGGTTGTCTGTATTTTTTATAATTGTTGATAAAAATTCTTAACTAATTATAAAATATAAATTATGAGAATTTATCTCTTTATTAATAATTATAAAAATTGTAACTCGCCCATAACAAACTCCACTTTATTTTCCAATAAAATAAATAATACAGACGAAATGCGTCATGAAAATACAATATAGATGGAGTTCACAAATTTGGACACTACACCACTATCCCTTGGCATATATATCCAAAAGCTTGAAAAAGCATATAGCACTTTTATTTAATACTTTTTTGGTCAACATGCCAGTCATTCATAGTTAATGGATCTCAACAGTCCAACCTTTCTTGTCCTCGATGAGCCCTGTTTGTATGCCGACTAGAGTTGTGTGCAACTCTTGACATACAGAATCATTATCCACTCTGAACTGAATTCTGCGGTTAAAAAGAAATCACCCATGATAACTAACAGAAGTTTGATAATTAGATATGTTTTGTACTCAAGTATCAATCCAAGGTAAAATGTAGTCACCTTCTACCCTGGTAGGTGACACCGCCCACCGGAGCAACGCCTATGGCAGTTCCAGTGCAGAATACTTCATCGGCATCAAGCAGTTCATCTACCAAAATGGCTTGTTCCTTGACCTGATTGACCATCCAAAATGGCACACTATCTTATTCTGCTGATGTTAGGGGTAACTCAAAATTTAAGGTAAGAAGACCACTGTAGTCACCTGGTAACCAAGATCACGAGCAATGTCGATGATGCTTTTTCGAGTTATCCCTGCTAGAATTGTCCCATTTGTAGCTGGAGTTGAAATTAGATTTCCCTGGAAAAGATTGAAATGAGAAATTTTACCGTTCTGAATAATAATGGCTATCTATTTAAGTCTCATCTCCGCACATAGAATTAAGGTCTCAGAAATGAGAGAAACCATGAGAAAACTTTGATCTAAGACCTACCTTCAATATGAAGACATTACAAGCAGAGGCTTCCTCCAAAAATTTCTTATTTACTGAGTCAAGGTACAAGACATCAGAAAAACCTCGATCTTTTGCCCTAAGTAGTGCTTTCAATGCCTATTAATCAAAACACAGTTATGTTAGAACTTGGAACAAACAGAAATTTTCTCACACAATTTTACTTCAATAGAAAATGAATCATTCACCGGTGCGTAATTAGAGATACTTTTAACCGCTCCAGCACCCCCGGGACAGGCACGAGTAAATTCATCCTCAATGTAAAAGTTCAGAGGTGCCATGCCACCCTGTGTCAAGAACAATTAACACATAATAAACCTCTCATTGGAATTCAGAACTGAAATGAGCAAAAATTGAAAAAGGAATCTCACCTTGAAATAGTTGGCAACAGGGGAAGCGTAAACAAGAAATGTGTATTCGGTTGCTGGAGCCAGGCCTAATATAGGACCAGTTCCTATGAGCAAAGGCCGCATGTACAAAGACCCTTTCCCTGGAGGAGGAACCTGCTCAATGATACCATCAAATCCTAGAATTTACACCCACAATTCTTCATCGAAGAACAGATCCGTATCTTTGAAAGACGTACTAAGGAATTTTTACCCATCGTTTGTTAGCGAAAGCAGTTTGCTTCACTGCATCAATAAATTGCCCAATGGAGGGAGAAGGCATACACATTCTTTCAGCACCAATCTTCATACGGATGGCATGCTGATCTGGACGGAAGAGGAGAAGGCTTCCATTTTCCTTCCTGTATGCTTTTGTCCCTTCTAGGATGCCCTGAGCAGATTTCTTTGAAACCTAAGTATGAAACTATACTGAATTGTACTATATATAGCTAAGCATGTAAATGAAATTTGCTTGCCTGTCCATAATTTAAGACTCCAGCTGAAGGGCTTAATTCTATGTTGCCAAAGCGACTAAGCTGCCCTTGTTTGAAATTCTCATCTTTGGAACATTTCATCATATACATGTAATCCGTTGGCATGAGACCAAATTCAAGATTATCCCAATCCAGGCTTGCATACTCATCATCACTAGAAAGACAATAATGTAATCGATACTCGTGCTTTTGCATACTCAGATACAAAAACAAGAAGCAAAAACAAAGTAATGTAAATTAATAACCATGCATTTGCAGCTTTGATGCATTGAGTATGGGCTATAGAACAAGGATAGCCCTCCTCTTTCTTCAATCCTTCTCCACTCATCCCAAGCTTTGAAGTCCAAATCCTAATTTTATTAAACAAAACAAAAAAGGAAAGCTGAATGCAATTGCAGCTGAGAACGCAGGCATACCTGTAGGCAGGTGGCTCATAAACTTGCTGCAGGGAAGATGAAACAGGAGGTGTGTAGTACCGGAAAGCTCCAAACTAAGAAAAATTCACAAAAAGGGAAAAAAAAAAGGCATCATTTTTATCTCTGATAAACAATTGCAATGGAAATCAAGTAGACATCATATTTTCTATCTTTTTTCCCCTGCAGCAGATGATTCTACTACAGAAAAAACTTTGGCTTCCTATTGAATACTCTGTTAAACCCCTGTTCAGAAAGACTAAGCCATTGCATGTTTACCTTTCTTTTATCATGAATCTTACCATAAACATTAAAAAACGTATAGATTTTCATGGACCAAAATCATCAAAAAGGAGAAACAGAAAGAATTCTTAAATTCTGATGCAAGATTTTAAAGACCAACCTTGGAACAGCCAAGAGCAGTTCTCAAAGACTGAATACCTCTCTGAACCATGTTGGCCATTTCCGTAATTCTTTTGGAGTTTGGAGATATTAAGTTTTAACTGATTGCTTTACCATGCAAAAATAAGTGGGCAGAAGAAAAACAGGACAGAGTTTGGCTGCGTAGGGCAAGGGGGCACCAAGTGAAACGGAGGATGTTGATGCTTTTAGACCAGGAAAATGCCAAATATATAGAGAAGAGTTGAACACGGAACCATCCAACACTACCTAAATTCTACTGCACAATTTATTTATTTATTTTATTATTGGCTAAAGAAAAGATAGGATACGAGAGACTAGGCAAATCACACATTGGAGGTCCATTGCCACTCAGGACACTTATTTGGTCTTTTTGAAATTTAAAGTATGGGAGATATTACTAGAATCAGCAGCGCTGTTTGCACATCATTATCCAAGTCTCGTATTTCTTTGTCGGTGATTGATTAGGGTTTTGCTTCTTCCTTATAATCGATTAAAAGGTGGACTCAAAAGTAAATTATAAATTAATTATGATACAAGTATATCACATCAGAAAAGGAAGGGGAATTCCACTAACATAAAAGCAAAACAAGGGTATTCTCAAAAATATCTTCCCGAGAAGCAAGGGAAAGAGCTTTATGACCTCATAAGAAGAAAGGACTGACAAGAAACAACAATTTTTAAAACGCCCAGAAATATGCTAATTATATATCTTCACTTCTCCTTCTACTTCAAGACTACAGTCCAACCCATTTTGTCTTTTAGAAGACTCTTTGTATGTTGTAGACACAAGGCCGTTTTCTCCATAATCCACCCTGCATCCCTCAATTAGTGTTTGTTAAGTTGCAAAATACATATGCTGGACCTCCTAGACAATTTACAATGGCATACTCGGTAATAAAAAGTTAACTAAGCTATGAAAACCCCAAGGTCAACATTCTTTATTTTCTAGAGATGCCACAGCCCCCCTGAGATGGGTTTCTTTAAACATTGTTCACATAAGACTGTTAGCTTTAGTTATTATGCTCTTAACTATCAATAGAAACAGAATAAATGCAAAAAAAAATACTTTGGTAACTTTTCTCTCGACTGAAAGAAACAGTGTCTGAATTTGTAGAAAAACAATAATGGATCCGTTGCAAATTCAGCAAATGCGTACTAGATCCCTTGGCTGCAGGCAATATCAATAACGCTCTTTCTGAAGATTCCAGGTAGTATTGTTCCTCCTAGCACAGGGGTGGATACTGATTACCCTGGAAATTCGTAGTGAAAAAATTACAATAAAAAGCAAGCAAATTGAGATTGGGGCAGATATTGTGTCACTTGATACTTGATGGGTAGGAAAATTAAAATGTTGTTAGCTGTGTGAGACAGGCAAGCAATGATTTGCAATAACTTCATGGACTCAGTACAATTACTATCCAACAAAAGTTTCCTACATAATAATGCTAACATGGATCAACTGGTATCAATTAAAATGGATATCAAACATACACTGTTGCAATGAATATGTTAGCAGTGTTGAGGAAAGTACCAAGATATGATCTCCTCATTATGAAGATACGATTCGGTCATCACTACCTAATTGCTGTAATTAGTATTAGTGTTATTTGTTTGCTTAACAATGTACCTTGGAGGACGCTGCAGAATTGGAGAACGCTGCAGTTTCAATTGTGAATAATATATACATAGTTACATACAATTCAGCCTACTTTATTTCTCTGTTAAGCAGTAGAAACCTCTTCCAGAGAACCATTGTGAACAGAATCAAGATACAGAAAGTTAGAGAAACCATTCTCTTTAACTGCAACTTGTGCCTTCGGAATCTATGAAAAAGATAACACTGCTTCAATGGTTTCAGGTTAAAATAAAAGAATATAGTAACAGTTAAATGCAAGTTGCCAAATCCGTTCCTGAGGGAAGCACTAAAATCAAATACTTCAGAGAGTCCAGTGTTTCCCGTCCAGGCTGCAAAACATTGTACTTGAAAATAGATACGGGGATATCAACAGCGGTAAACCACCATCCTTAAAGATTCCATCTTCAAAACATTTCATAACGTACGTATGTCTGTCTGTATAGAATCAAACTTGTACAGATATTTCCAGATGATTTGTAAAAATATTTCTCCTGACTTGAAATGGATGATTCAGATATTTCTCCAAACTTGTACAGATATTTCCAGATTATTAGTAAAGATAAAACAAAAGCAAAAGCAAAAGGAAGTTATTCAGACTTAACAGCTGAAATAAGCATAGTTTACCCATGGATATCCAACGGAAAGAGGTCGCCCGGCATCATGAAAAAAACGGTGGACGTAAAGAGGCGGTGAAATTGAACCCTTCAGAGCCTGCAGCGCACCCATATCGCATACAAATTCAAAACGCAAAATTCTCAGTGCCAAACCGATTTGTATCCAATTACCACAACGAAGAGGAAATGCTTTGTCTATTACACTACATATGTTCCTTAAATTGCACGAAAATAACCTCAATTATTGGAAAATTAAAATCTTTATCCAAATGCCCATTGAAGAAATATTTTATTTATCGTTTAACCATATTCAAAGGAACAATTTTATTGATAGAACGGCAATAGCAGAACAATAAGTTGATCACAGAATAGCACAAGAACTGGAGGGCTGAGGAGGGGCGTCGACGTCGCCGGTGACACCGGGCCAATCGTGGCAGAGACAGTGTTGACCTTCGGGTATGCGCTTGTAAACGGAAGGAACATGCCTTCCGCAGCCGCCCCAGCTGCTCTTTCCGCAGGTGGAGCACTTCACTTCGTAGAACATCGTGTTGAATTCGAGTTCCAGCCTGAGGAAGGAACCAGATTTGGCTGTGAGTGTGCAATCTCAACTCCTGGAAGGGATGAATCTAGTCTAGTATTATTTATAAAGCCTCAAAAGATATCGAGGAGTTCCGGTGAACAACGGTTCCTACCACCGTTCATCCGACAGCGTTCCCAATGTCGGAAAGTCTAGAAATTATCTAAGGGAAAGATCCCCTCGACTGACTTCCATTTTGTAGGAATGAATTTCTCTGTTCAATTCGTTACTCCTGGTATTTTCTCCAAATTTGACAAAAGCAAGACTCTTTTTTGTTCTTATTATTATTAATAATTTTTTTTT